TAGAGTGTGTAACTCGCTTATCTGCGTGACTTACTTATTAACCACGTTACCTAGCTATAGAAATACCTCTTCCTTAAGTACTTATTTATCTCTTTACTATAGACTAGGATTACTCTAGATTACCTATAATCTTAGTAATCCTTCCTTTATAGATTACGCCTAGCTTACTAGGCTCTATAGTGATCTAGTCACGTGACCTCCTGTCCTAATCTAGCGACTTGTAGGCGCCCGCCTGGTCGTATCCTTGGGCCGCCTCCCCGGCTGCCTTGCGTCCTTTCTTCGTTCGTAACACCCACCTGAAAGGGTACGGAGTATTAGAGTTGTGGGCTCTTTGTCACAAATCTCACAGTCCCCGCAATCTATGGAACCTGCTTACCTATGTACCTAATCTGTACAGTAGAAACATTTCCCCAGGTATTTAGGAGTGTCAAGTTAATCGAGTCGCTGCGCGGGGCTTTCGTTCTTCATTTATTTGGCCACAAACGCTCTTACCTAGGTACCTAGGTAAACAATCTAGTTGACTACGAACCGCTAAAAGCAACCACTGATTAATAGTTGCATTCGCTTGCCATGTCCGCTGCAGGAAGCTTGCATCATGGTTGGCTCCTGCATGCACTCCGCCGCGGCCACACCGGGCTGGCGCCTAGAGGTCGTCCGCAGGTCAGCAACCAACTCTCGAGCAGAGAGATCCAGCATTCTTTTGCCATCAATGTTTCTAGCCTTAATTTTTGCTTCCGTCTTTTACGTCCTTCAAGGTTGCACTTTTTGAATGCCCGTCATGAATGAGATTTACGAAAAGCTGGCTGCTGCGGGACAGCTCGCAACCACTGCCAGGGGGTCGGCCCTCGAATTCGATAGTCATGCTTGTGTCTGCGAAGTGTACGAGCTTTGGGTGCACAAGGACAGCAACGCAGTTACACCACTGTTCCACAAGCTTGATGCTAGTTTAATACCCGGATGGTTGCAGAACGGTACCAGCTCAGAAGCCAAACCGTTGCATACACTTGCCCTTCGGCTCGTCCTAGTCGCAGTCCAAAAAACGGGGAATGCTAAGAAGAGGACTTTGAACATCTCAAAGGAAATCCATGACCAAATTATCAAGGCCTTTGGGCTGAAACTGGCCCATGAACATCTCAAAAGCACAGTCACGAGCGTGACGGCGTTACCAAAGATCAAAACGGAGTCTAATTCGGAGCTTTGTTGCTACTCCTTCAACCATGCTCCCAAGTTGGCTGCGGTGTGGTCGCAGGTGCGCAGCAACGACACAGACGTCGACGCAGACGTCGCCAATCAATGCGCAGCTATCCAAGGCATCATATACGTGTTGGAAGATGCCGAGGTGAATGACAATTCCAGCAAGAAAGCCGACAAAAAATCATCTACACCTGGCTTCTCGCCGAAACAGGTGCTACAGGGCTTATTAGGGTCGCCCTTTTGCGCTGACCTGTATTCGAGCGCCATGACCCCGGCACTGCTCTTGGCCATGCAACTCGGCTTCGAGATTGATTTGACGCAAAGCCGCATCAAAGTTGTCGTTTCAGACATTGAAGCGAAAACAGGCTACCACATCTTTGAGAATAGAGTGGCAGCTTCGGCGCACGCGAGGCTCAGCCAGCTGGCCACGCGGGCCAGCGGTTCAGCCACCAAGCTTGCCAGTATCGACAGGAAAAGTACGTCCATGCAAAAGGTGTTGCATTTCATCATCAGGCACTTGGATAAAGACGCCTCTGCGGCTGGGACTGCCATGCGCGATGTGCAACACCTCCTGCGACACCATGTTGGTGTACTCGAGGAGAGACTCGAGATGCAGATGCTAGATACGCAATACACCATGAAACGCGTAGACATCCAGATCAATGCTGTAAGTCAGCTTTCAGAATATCTGGTCATCAAGCTAACATCTTCAGCTCTTCAACATGATGATGCAGCAAGACAATGCAAACGGCATCGAGCTGGCCAAATCGTCTCACCAAATTGCGCGCGCCAGCTACCGCGACTCGTCCTCGATGAAGACGCTCGCCATTGTCACCATGTTTTTCCTCCCGGGCAGCTTCGTCTCGGCAATGTTCTCCATGCCCATGTTCAAATGGGACAAGGCGGACCCCGACTCGTCATCCATTGGTGTCGGCCTCTTGCCCCAGTTTGGCCTCTACTGGGCCATTACGCTGCCGCTGACCATTGCAACCTTCTTCCTCTATCTCATGTGGCTGTGGTACCTCACGCGCCAACGGGATCGCGAGGTTGGCGTCGTTCCCCTCAAGAGCGTTGAGGGCAGCGATTGCGAGGAAGGGCAGGATACTGTCGAGGAACGCTGCATTGAGAGGAAGAGAAGGCCAAACGACGCTGTAGGGCAGCGTAGTGACGCATCTAAGATATTCGCGGCGCGGAACTTTGTTTCCAATGTATGAGGTTATGACAGTAATTTGTTTGCCCTCGAGAAAAGCGTGTCTGCTTGTAGGCGATGCAGCGATGACCAACATTGTGGCCCGGTTGTACTTTGCTCCACACAAGCGTGTCATTCTAGCGAGGCTTTCTGCCAATTGTTGTCAATGTAAAACGAGACCGATATTGTATAAGTAGTAAAAAATTCTTTAAAAAAGAAAAGCACAAATAAGAAGCTCGTTTTTGCGAACCCAAAAACAATGTAGAGGTATGGTTGACGAGCAGGCCACGGCACCGACTGGGCTCAGGTGTCGGCGCGCAGCTTCGTCACCACGACGTACTCTCAGATCTGCCCCGCTAGGCACACGATCTTGCCGTCTTCACCAAACCACCGGCCACGGCCCAGGTTCGACGCGGGAAATTGGGCCTGATAGAGAGTTGGAATCCGATCAGCCCATTTTCACTCGGCTTACCCGCATCGCTGCAGCAGGCTTTCGGGCCCGCATCCTCGCGATAGCCTGCCATGGCAGCCCCCGCGACTGGCAACCCTGTCCCCGCGCAGCTGGGCTTCCTCGCCATCTACAACCCGTCGCTCGGCAACACGGACGATACAATCGACGATCAGATTGTTTACTATGCCTCGGTCACGTCGCTGGCCGCCGCGTCGTCTAAGCGCCGCCGCGCGCGCACCAGAGGTCGCCCAACCGAGGCCATCTCGCCCGAGGAACGCAACGAGCGTCTGCGCCAGATTGGTCTCGCGCAGGGCATGGTCAGCTTCAGCCAGGGCTTCGCCGACGGCGATCCCGTAGATAGCATCGAAACAGAGACCACCAGGGTCGTTGTGCATGAGCTCGAGTCTGGATGGTGGATTTTAGCAGTAAGTTGACGAGTACAAGTGCTCGCTCGTCATGTCGGGACAAGACCCGCGCTAATCCATAGCAAAGAGCATTGATCTGAACAAGACGCCGTTGCCACCACGGCTCCTTACTAAGAATAATGAGCCGCGAGAGGAAAAATACGATTACAATACCAAAGAGATGAAGCCCGCCGCTCTCGTATTGCGTGATCTCCAGCGCGCGCATCGCATTTTCTTGATGCACCACGATATCTCGCTGAGCTCGCTCTTTTTGCGTCTTCCACGACACAGATTTGTGGCTGTCCTCAGTCGCTACTGGGATCTCTACTTGTCGACGTGGAGCGTCTCACTACATGGAAATCCTGCTAGAGACATCTATCAAGGCATTAATATCGCGGCATCGGGCGAGCTTGGTGTCGGCGTGGGTGAAGAAGAGCGCGGCAGCGGCGAGCGAGAGGTTCTCGAAGGCCTGGTCGGCAGAACTGAGGGTCTCGTAGACGTTGTAGTGTCCAAGTTTGGCATCGAAAGTGATGATGAAACGGGATCAAAGGGCAAAGCTGCCGCGCCTTGGCTTGGCAGTGGCAGGGAGCCTTCTACCGACGATGGAGCCATATTCCTAGGTACAGGCGCGCTGTCCAGAAAATCGCTGAGGGACGTGACGCACTGGATGGAGGACCTCTATGCTTGGGGTGAGCACGCATATGGCGTGATTGAGAGCCCGATTTCGACACGCAAGGCTCGAACGAAGAAGACTGACCCTCAGATCGATGCCCCAAAGACCTCCGAGGCCACTTCAGATGACTTGAGTGAAACAAAGCCCGAGGTACTTTCGACGCAAAGCAGCGAATCGACCATCAAAACACTGAAACCCCAAAAATCTGATCCGGCCCCCAACGCAGCCGGCAGTACAACGACCTCTGAACCGATTGAGGGAGGCAAAGATGGTCAAGTTTCTGAAGTACCTGCTACTGGAACTGAAGATGGCAAATTGGATAAGATGGTTAGCTATCTGAAACTCGGCTACGGTCAGTATTGGACCATTCCCGGCGTCTCCGCTCTCTCTGGACCTTCCACGGAGCAAGCCGCCGATCAAAAGAAACAGCCCAGCTCGAAAGCAGCAGAGCCGGCGCCTCCGAAAAGGCCACCCATGCCGAAGCCATCGCCGTCCCAGGAAGCTGCAGGCCACTATCTCATTGGCCTCAAAGGTGAAATCGAGGAGGCGCATGGTAGGGCCGGCGACGACGCTTCATCCGATGAATCAGAAACCGAGCACGACTCCCGCACTGTTTTGCGAACCATATATGTCGAACTAGAAGACAATGAAGGCGGTATCGGTCAAGTTGGCCAGCTGCCACACAGACCAACGGATGATGGCGGCGCCACACTTATGGAAGTGCAGATGCGCGGCACTTTGCGTCCCGGTGCACACACGCAAGGAAACAGCAAGGCGGAGAAGCTACGAGTAGTAGTCTATGTCAATCGGCCTTTTATTTTCCTCTTCCTGTTTCGTCTGCAGACAGACTCACTGGCGTGGGATGCGCTCTATCGATCATTGCACTACCAGCTCTCGCCGCTGCGCAAGCCTCTGCTCGCCTCGACACAATACCGCCCTGAGAGGCCGGATACAGGCCGCGGCAGCCGCGGCGCCTCGGGCATCTACGACCTCGTCTGGAATCCACTCGACCTCACCGTGCACACTACCATGCCCAACATACCCGATCACCTGTACCCGGCCGACGACCACGCGGCCGCGCTGCGGTGGTCTCGCGCCGACGCCGTCAACACGCACCTGCACGTGCTTAATCTGTACAGCGGGACGCGGTCGCCGCGCGTCGTGGATCTGGAGCGCACGCAAAAGACGAGTCGCGGTTGGTGGGTGGTCTGGACCAGGCTCGTGCAGCGCGAGACCGAGTCCAGAGTCACGCCGCAGCCGCAACCGCCGCACGCGCGAGACTCGGCACCGCCCTCGCCTCGGCCCGAGTCGGACGCTGGTGATGAGACTGGTATAATGGCGCTAGGCCCTGCGACGACGAGCAAGGAAATATTCCTGATACGCCGCGCGAGCGACCACGTCTCGTCGGGCAGCGGTAGCTTGGGGGTGGGAGGCGGCGGAGCAGAGTCTGTGGGAAGGCTTGCGCAAGGGATTGGGGTCGACACGCGGAGATATGTGGAAGATTTGCTCAGCATGCTGTAAAAAATTTGTATTTGATCAATGTGGTTTCATGATTTGTCAGGCACTCTTTGCAAGGACTTGATCATATTTCTGGCTTTAGCGGCATTGGAGTTTTAGCTCTGGGTGCATAAAGGCGTCGATTCTAGCAATGATACTACTGCCGAGGGTAATCGAGAGTCGCTCGGCTTGGGCAGTGACGACTCTCGCGCTATACACATATCTGCAGTCTTACCGGTCGATGTGAATGACGATCGATAAAGCGTCAAATCGTGCGGTTGGTGAAGAAGCAGCAGGTACGCTTTGCGGTCGTGGGTTTCGGCCGAGGCACAACAGCCAATGTTGAGCAATGATTGAAGTGGCAAAGGCATGGATCTCTTTATTGCGAAAGCCAAAAAAAAAAAGAAAGAAAAGAGGAACTTTTGCGCTCAGCGGCGCAGAAGGGCAAAAAAACAAATTATCTGATGAGAATGGGATTCGAACCCATGAGGATTGCTCCACCAGGAATGATGCTAAGGTGACCTTAACCTGGCGCCATAACCAACTCGGCCATCTCACCGATTGATGTTTTTCAGCTGCACTAATTGAGTGAATCAAGGCTTAACAAAATTCGCCTGATCTTGCCGTTGCGTCCTGGTGCCATGACATTGAATCCTTTGGAGGCTTGCGTGGTGAGCCGGGCGAGACACTGTCGGCACCCAAGCGTACGGAACATATATAGTTCATAGATTGAGTTCTTTGTAGGCTAAGTTGAGTGTCTCGGGTCACGCGTAGCAATCCGCGCAGTGACTGACGAACGAGCCTTCCCATGGGCAGAGTGCTTGGTCGTCCTCTACACGAATCGGCAGTGGGTGCCATGGTGCCAACAACAGAGTTGAATACACGGGCTACCCGTCTGCAGAATATCTTCTTCTTGCTCGTCTCGTCATAACACACCGGCATAATTGTGGTATCTGGTCGAGTTTGAGTTTGGTGCATATTTTGCATCTTCTCACTCTCGACTGTCTCACCACGTCCTTGATCGCCCGCCTGCGACTGCACATGCTGGCCTGTTCACCCATGTCCGTGATTCAGCGCCATTGCCATGACGATGGATTTCTTGTTTTCTTTTTACTTATGTTAAAATCCAGTCTGCGTCGAGTCTAAAGACAGAGGATGACACGTGTACACCTACTGTGACCGAATCGTGGAGTCGGCCTTATGTCTCCCGCCAACGATGAACAGCAATTGTTGGACAAGAAAGTCGCGTAGCGGCCCATGTGAGGTGGCTTGACCTGTATAGTACAAAATAAATCCAGTTCTTTCATCGATCGGTGAGATGGCCGAGTTGGTTATGGCGCCAGGTTAAGGTCACCTTAGCATCATTCCTGGTGGAGCAATCCTCATGGGTTCGAATCCCATTCTCATCAAGCAACTTGTTTTTTTGGCTGGTTATATCTATTTTTATCTGTTAAATCAATATAACCTACTTGATCCTATTCTTCCCCAGCACTCTGTTCCTTTCGATATTTGTACTTTTCTTTTTTTTTTTTGTTATTTGCGCTATATGTTTCGGCTTGAAATTATGAACTATAGGACCTGGCAATAACGTCATCCACTCTCGCGGGCTTTCCCGAGTCTAGCATGCGTTTACATGAGTCAAGGAACTACTATACCAAGCAACCTGTTAATAATAGTACTGGTAGATTATTGCCGTGCCGTATCCGTGCGTTCATTCATACGCTAATTACAGGTGTCAAATTAATTAAAGATCCGAAATTGACCTGCCCATATATCTACGATTAACAGACGGGTCTACATAGCCCGCTAAAAGATCGTGTAATCAATTTGCGTTGTTCCATACCGGGTAAGTAAATAATCGCGTAACCAAAAAAATTTCGTCCGACCACACTGACACAAAAAAAAAAAAAAAATCATCAGACCAGACGGGGTACGTATCCCTGGCCCTAGCGACTGCGCAAAGCAAACGCCCGGATTGCCATTTCACTCTCCGACGAGCAAAAAATGTCAGCATCTTTCTTCAAGGGAGAAAATGCCGCGAAATGGGAGTTTCCTGGCCTTATGCCTTTGTTATGCAGCCTCACTGCGAGCAACAGCCGCCGAGACGGGTCATTGACGCCTTCGACTAGAAATGAGACCGCGTACTAGTTAGGTGACGCTGGGCCTCTCGTTGTGGGATTCTCAAGAACGGCGAGGCGCTGCGACCGAATCCGGGTCTGATATATAAACTTTAATGATCAGCTCATCAAAATTGAGATTCAGTGTATGCTATATGCGCTAAGATATTGAGGTGAAAAATTTGTTTTCTGGGTTGTATTGATGGCCACTTCTGGTGGAGTGCATTATTTCTGGAGCTACAAATGTACTATGCCGATTAACAGTCATTCCTAGTAGCAATTGGTTTTTAGATCGCAATGTATTCAACTGGCTATATTCAGTGACATAGTCATCAATGATTCCCGCATCTAACCCCGTATGTGTTGTGTTTTTAAAACTTGTCTGTTTGTTGGCGTGTCTCATAGCGTACCATCAACATCAGACCGAGCTGAGAAAGAGCGTACGACGAAAAAGTTTATATACGTGAAAGGTAAAGAACGAATGAAAGGCCTCGCCGTTTCTGGAAGTGATGTTGAGCGTCTCTGCAGGTCTCGTCCTGACAAGGTTGAGAGAGCGGCTCATGTGCGCAAGGCGCCAGCCTCGCAGTGCACATTCAAAGGAGATTGCCGAACCGGAGTGCTTAGGCAAAAGACCAGGTCATTTTCTCGCGACCTGAGTCAAGCGAGCCAAAGAGAAACTTGTAGACTTTTTCGCTGACATCAATGCTACCCTCTGCGCAGCTAGGGCACTTGTCGCGCACCGTGGCGTCGATGGACTTGCCATTTGCGAAGATGTTGATTTTCTTGTTGCACATGGGGTTATTGTTAGAGAGAGGACCCATGAGTTTGCTGGAGAGGGCGACAATGTTGTCTGTATTATCCTTGCCGGTGTCGTCTGGTCCGCAAGCACCTGGACCGACGGCGTAGTAAGTGATCTCACCACTGTGCTCGCCGGAGCCGCCGCCGCCGCCGCCGCCACTGGTGCTGCTTGGGGCAGGCGCCTCGCTGGTGGAAGAAGACTGAGGAGCCGCACCGAATTCGGCAGGCTCGGGTCGAGAGGGAGGAGGAGGAGCAGGAGCAGCAGGCTCGGCGGTAGGCTGAGGAGGGGGAGGAGGGGGAGCAGTGGAAGAAGGAGGAGGAGGGGGGGGAGGGGGGGCAGGAGCAGCGACAGAGGTCTGCTCGGGCTGCTTCTGGGAAATCGAAGCAGTCTCAAAGAACTGGCCGTCAGAAGGCGCAGGGACAATCGGGGTAGCGTCGGCAGTAGGGACGGACTGGCCAGGAGTGATAAAAGTGGTGGTGCTGACGTCGATGATTTCAGTGACAGTTTCGATTTTGGTGACCCATTCGACCTCGGTGACAGTAACGGTGCCACGACGGTTGAGAGGCTTGGCTGCGGCGGCAGCGAAGAGAGCGAAAGCAACGAACTTCATGTTGGCGGTGTGGTATCTGGCTATCAAAGCGACTTGATTGTGGTTGTTGTAGGCGGTTGCGCAGCTAGGCACAGCGAAGCAAGTTCAGGATAAGGACTGAGAGTAATTGTGTTTGTTGTTGGCGCAGCCAAGCAAGGAGTGTGAGATTTGAGACGTGAGCGCGTAGGCGTGATGTTTGTCGTGAGAAGACGAAAGACGGACGAATATATATGTGAGTTGAGAAGGAACGTTTTTTGTTTTATGCAAATGCGTCGACGGGCTTAAAGGAGGGAAGCACGACGAGCAGAAAGGAAAGTCGGGGTAAGTGAGGGGGAGGAAGGAAAGAAAAGTGAGAGTAGAAGAAAGAACGCAAGAAGAAGAGGGAGGGAATGTGTTTGCGTGCGGTGCGATGCAAGTCGAGGCGCGGGAGGGGTGGAGCAGAAGTTGGGAATGTGCCATCCAGGGGACTAAGCAGCCCAAATCAAGGTACACACAGAAGCATGCTGCCGCCAGCCACTCATGCCACTGCCAAACAGCCTTTTTCCGCTTTCGTGGCAGAGGAGGGGTACCTGACACCCGGGGGACAAAACAGACCGCCGATGAGCCTCAACACCTGCCATAGGGACCGTCACTCACCTCACTAGACTAGGGTTTTAAAATTATAAGATAAATACTAGTAAATTCCTTAGCTACTAAAGTATAGATATAGTAGTCTAAAAATTACATCTTAGATTATATTTTAAGATGATTACTGCTAGACGAAGTGAGCCTTCTGGGCTCGATGCGCGGTCCGTTTTGTCCCCCGAGGGCCTGACTAGCGGGATTTCCAGGGGACAGTCAACTGGCAAGGGGCGAATCTGTACCCAGTAGCAGCAGAGAGGCACAGAGGGAGGAGTAAGTAGCCTGCATGTCTGGCTGTGGGCGGCGGCGCTTTGTGCCACGGGCCCATAGCTACTTGGCTGACTGAGGCTCAAACCAATGGTAGGTCCTGAGCAGGCACCTAGTGGAGATGCTTGGGAACAGACCGCGAATAGAACTTGGGGCTGATCTGTTCGTCTGCCCACTTCTAAGTTCTCATCGCCTGAGTGGACCATTTTCACTAGCCCGCTACGGAGAAAAACAGGCCGCTGTGGGCAGTGACAGTTTCTTGCTGGAGCCTGTTGGGCGGTCTAGAATCTAGTTTCTGTTTTGCGACATGCGTGCGCGGTTTTCGGGCGGTATCAACCTCTCCGTACAAGTAATGCTTTTTGATTTTTGTTCTAAAAAAATCTGCTTCAATGCAGTTCTGCGGCCGTAATCCGTGTGATCCTGGCCATTTGCCAACAAACCACTCACCTATCTTCTTCACACCCCCCCAATAAGACTGCAACAACGCAATGCAGGTACCATATTACCGCACCTCGCAGCCGACAAGTCACAGAGCCCTGCACACCACACGGTTACACGGGTGCACGGGTGCACGGCTCGACGGCCCAGGGCCTGTCAATGTCATTGGCACAGCCCAGACCAGGGCAAGGTTGCCCTCTGCAGCGTGCACGCAACTCACGCATTAGAAGAAGTACCTTGAACCGGTCAATGACTTGCGGTTCAGTGCATGTGTATGTGCTTGGTACACATGAGCACAATTATCCATCAACACATGTGGCGCATACCAGGCAGCTTTGCCAACAAGATTTTTGATGCCAAGTCAGACGGATAAATTGTAGTAATAGTATCCGTACCTAAGACGATCTGGTATCCGTAGATGGTCCGAAAACTTGAAACTGGCTGGGATGGATGGCCTCTGGCCTGTTCGTATAAAATGGGGCGAAACGGACAGCGGACCAGATGTATCCGCACCTATCAGTAATAAATCGATTTATTTAATAAATTCTCCACCGTTGCGTTCATCAGGTACTCGTCACCTCTGATTGGCCAGCTCACGCCGTGTGCCTTGCGCTATTCTCTTTCTGGCGTATTCCCTCAGACGGAAGTTATTTTTTCTCTCTTCCCCTTCTTCTCGTTTTGTCCTAGTCAGCCTCCCCCTTTCCATATTTCGCCCTCAGGACCCTCATCACGCAAGCACTTTATCTATTGACTCTTGCGCCACGCCTAATACGACAGACACGCAACACGTCGTCCCTTGGCGACAAGACCGACACATGCCAACCGCACATCTTTTTCCCGCGCGGCATGCCGTGCAACGGTGTTTTCTTTGCTGGCAAAAGACACGCTTCTTCTGCATGTTCGACGTAGTCTTTCATGTCTCACAGTCTTTTTTCTCGGCGCATAGTCGTACAGAAACATCGCGCGGGGGCACTTGTTTCAACGGCATCAGTTGGCTTTTCTTGACAGATGACTCTCTGACTCATCTCATTTGACGTTCGAGATAGATACAAAGTGGAAACAACCTGCTGCTATTTCGGACGTAAAGGCGCCAAGGGTCTGCAACTGTGCTGAATCAGTCAAAGCTGAATCAGTCGAAACAATGCCCAACACCATCAACCATCAACATGCTCACTCAACCCCTGCAGCCGTCCAATGAGATACGATGCCGCCCACACCTCGAACAAAGTTGCCGTATCACGACGTCTTGTACAACCAGACGACTCGCAACTCAGACTGTTTTGTCTGCCTTGTGCCCCGCACATCTCACCGTCAACCGTCAGCCCGCCCTCGACGGACCAGACGAAGACAACGACCATCTGCTATCACCATCACCACCACCTTTTAACTGAGCGCCGCTCTTGTTTAAGCCGTCTATTTTACCTCTGCAGTGCGGCACAACGAGACATGTGCACAGCTGCGGCGCTTCGTCAACAGATGACCCGTGATCGACCCTTTAACCCCATCTGTGCCCGACCGCGTCTACAGCTGTCCCCCGCAGCGCCGGATGGCAACCTGCTCGGCAAAACTGCTCGATAGGTAGGGCTTGATTTTTGGCATTCTCACATGCCAACGTTGAAGAGATGCAGCTGCATCACTTATCCCAGCACATGTCCAGTTGTAGATGCGAATATCCAACGTGACACCCTTGCTGGTCATATTCTGTCACCCTGTGTAGGGGCAGGCAATGCAGCTCATGCTTGTGGCTGTATAAACTCAGTGCAAATCCGGCTTCGCAGTAGTCAATCTTTGGATGTCTCGCCAGAGTTGTATGAAATCGCTGCAGAAATCCCTTGATTGACTCATCTGCCTGCCGCGCGACCCTTCAATCTGCGCGCGCCACCACCTCTAAATATGGCGCCTTCATCATGGCTCGACCAGCAACCGTCGCAACGGCCGCCACTAAATTTCTCCAAATTACCATCAGTGTCAGCAAAACCGTCTACCCCATCATTCTCGCTGCATGGGCACGCGCGCCTTTTCTCCCTCTCTTGGCCGCCTCAGCTGTACAAGCTATGCTTACGCTGCAAGGCTCGGCTCTGGTACGCCATGCTAAGAATGGAACTGTAAAACCGGTCCTCCATGCGCGTCGTCTAGCCGCCACTTCACTTGACAGATGTCATAAGACTGGCGTTCTCATAGTTTAATGCATGTAACCATGCCATTTTTTGGGCTAATGCTGGAGACACGCACGCACACAATCGGCAAGGCGTCTTCCCGGTCCAGTTTCTAGCTAGAGTATAGCTTCGCGCTTGTCGGATTTGATCACGCTAAACCCGACAGCCGGCGGTATCCTTTGACGAAGAGCTGGGAGTACGGACTCGGAATTGCGCTGATGCCTGAAATCATGGACTGAGATTTAATTCACTCCGAAAGCTGCCCTGTTGCTGTAATTAAATGTTGCCGTCACCCTCTTATCTTTGCCTGCCGGCCGAAACAAAAAAAAACTGACGAGGCTTGTGCCACACTCTGTGCTGTCAATTTCTGCACCGCAGCATGCAGCAGGCACCAATCTACCCGGGTTTATTCTTCGGCAATTGAACAGCTGCGTTGCTGCATGTCTGACTGGTGAGCGTGGCAACGTTGTTGTTCTTTTTTTGCGCAGATATCACATGTCCCTTGATTGCATGACGCATGAACAGACCATGTGTCCAATTTTTTAACCTCATCTTTTGTTTCCTTCCTGAGTAATGACCCATGATGCTTGCATGATTGGTAAGAATGATTCATGAACATGTTTGCTATGTGCATTGAATATTGATGTAACATGCATGTACATGGTCCCGTTCAGCCCGCAAGCTCGATTATTACACCATTAGCCAATATGTACACGGCGTCTTGGCAAGGACTTGTACATTAAGCAGATGATGATTTGTCTCAATGTCTGAGAAATAATTAAAAAAAATTGGAAAGGAGTCATGTAGTCCCTGGCCAAGAGTCATGACTCCCGCACAAGCACCACGGCTTCCAGCGTAAACGGCAGACTGTCGTCGCCCTCGACGGCGTCGCGAGCTTCGCTCTCCACCTCGCACCTCTTCACCTCTCTCAGGAGGCTCTTTTCCACCTCATCCACGTGCCTGCGCAGCGCCTCGCCCTCCAGCGGCGCCTCCTCGCACGGCGCATACCGTCCGCCTCCCATCGGCGCGTCGGTGTAGCGCCACGGCCTGACGCCGCCCGCTTCACAATGATGGGCGCTGACGAGCGTCCAGCGCCGGGGCACGAGCGCCTCGTCCTCGCGCTCGTGCGGCTGCGGCAGCGCGCCGTACACGAGCTGCAGCCGCGCCAGGTTCGGCAGGCAGTGCAGCAACCCGGCGAGCGCGCGCACGGGTACATTGGCCGCGGGCACAGCCAGCGCGCGAATCTCGACGCTGCGCGGAGTCGGCCGCGCAAACAGCCCACCACCACCACCACCACCAACTCCCGCCGCGGCCGACGACGACGACGTTGACGGCGCAGGCATCGCCGCGTACCCGCCGTCAACAGTCCCGTAGTAGACGGCCGCGGCGCCGTCAAAGGGAAACGTGCAGGGCCGCTGGCAAAAGTCGTCCCAGCGTTCGCGGCCCACGTAGACGGAGTCGCCGCGGCCGGGATGCCAGGGCCGCACGACGACGCGCCCGCCCGCGTCGTGCTCCTCGTCCCAGGCGCGCTCGTGGAGCTGCAGGCTCAGGCCGTGGCGCGCGGCCCATTGCAGCGCAACCTCGCGCGCCTCGTAGCAGACGGAGACGTGGGGCAGGTGGTGGACGGGCACGTGCGGGTGGACGACGTCGCAGGCGAGCTCGGCGTCGGTTTCGAGGATTGGGCGGCGCGGTGAGGACGGCGAGGGGATCGAGGGCTCCCACTTCCAGTCGCGGTAAAAGTAGACGGCGCTGCCTTCGCATGCGGGGAGGGCGTCTTGCCAGATTTGGAGGCGCAGCTCGCAGGGGAGTTGGCTGAAGAGGGTGAAAGATGGAGATGGGGCTAGGCCATTGCGTCGCATTGTCTGCAGCAAGAGGAAGAAGCAGGGCAAAAGAAGAAGAAGAAAGGATTATGTAAAGAGTGAGGGGTCTGAGGTGGTGCCTGTGCAGAAAGGTATAAGTGAAGGAGAGGCGTGAGTATATTGCCCAACTTGTACCAATACATCAATCAACACCCATCACAATCTGAAAAGTTTAACAAAAAGAGGCAACACGCACAATACATATATACCTCGGAAACAGAAAGCCAACACTTTTCCCAATGCTCCCCATTCTCCACGTTGGTAATTTGACGTGACCTGGGGGGGGGCACAAGCGCCCATGTCGCTGCTCAGTTGCCTAATCGAGGACCATTTCCCTAAGCTTAATTCTCCTCGGCGCTGGCCCGATTCTTATCTGACCTGGGGACTGCAGCCCCAGGCTGGGGCGAGCTGGACCGGGAGAAGCCTTGGGGACTTGTCAGATTTTAATCCTGTTCTTAGCTGGGGCGTAGCGGCCGCCCAACAATAGCCTATAATAAGCTTGAACGTGGTCTCAGAGTAGGAGCCCGGTCGGGCTGGTGAATGTGTCGACAACGAGGGTGTGTATTACATCTCGCCCAGTGTATGTATGTATATATGCCATGTATTCCTATGCGCCTTACAAGAACTCTTCACGGAGGATGCCGAGAAGCAAGGCGAAATAAAAAAAGTGAAATAAGAATGGTTGACAAGGAGAGGGGCAAGAAAATGTAGGTGTAGCCACGTGCAGTGGCTGCATGTCAGCATGGAGCATGGAGAAGAAAAAGAACAAAGACGCTGTGTGGGCTGCTGCTGCCCTGCTCGTCTCCATCCTTCTTGTACCATGGCACACTATCCGTACTGCCATGCTCATCACCTAGATTGCCATGTCGGATTCGATGCATCAGTCAGAGGGAAAAAAACTCGGATTGTGGGAGAATTCTGCGGCCAGATGCCCGACATTCCGGGTGCTTGTCCCCAGGCGGCATATTCCAGACCCAGCCACCCACGAACATTAGCCTAAGAGGAAATGGAGGCTGGCTGTGGAAAAACGTTGATGGTGCGTGATTCGATACAAAGAAAGCATATATGAGGTTATTAAAAAATTGACAGCCGACGGAAAATGAATCGAGCAATGTGCTCCCCAAGCGGACCGTCACGGTTGGCGCGTGGTATCTCGACCCGGACCGACTCAGGCCGTCGTTGGTGCTGCTGCTGCCGCGGCCTCGTCTGCCAGCTTCTCCGTCAGTCTCGTACCGCCAGCCGCTTTTCCGCGCTTGGCCGTAAAAGTGAAGAGAAACAGCGACTGCCGCGAGAAGACGGGGCGGTCGTCGTCGAAAATCTCTTCGACGGTAAACGCCTTGCGCGCCATCTTGACAAACTGCATGTCGGCGCGGCGGCGCTTCTTGAAGCAAAAGTAAATGACGACGTCGGGGTTGAGCGCGACGAGGTCGCGCAGCGTCTGCATGAGCAGCGGAAAGGCCGGCTCAAAGTAGACGCACTCGCCGGCCAGAATCACGTCGGGCTTGTAGTCGACGACTTCTTGCGGCAGCGGTTCTCCCCTATACACACGATTCTCGAAATAAGGACATGGTTCGTCGCGGGAAGACAGCTTCTTTTGCTATTGCAAGAGGAGGAAGGTTCTTGCTGCAGGATGCCAAGACGTACCAGTTCAATATCGACGCGGTCGCCTTGTTGCCAACTTCGTTGAGGGCAATGTTGTGTTTCATGAGCTCCAGCATCTCGGCCTGGTCGGTCAGCATAAGTCGGCTCTCGACGCCACAGCCTAGGGCCACAGCCAGACCGACGAGCCCACCGCCGGCTCCGAGTTCTAGTCTGCATTCATCCAGTCAGCCATGTTGCCAGTTCTCATCGTTTTGCAACGCCCCCCGTTTGCCAGCTTGGTCATCGGCTTCTAGCGGCTAGAGTGAACTCGAAGAAACACAAAAAGCCTTGCGTCCCGCTCCAAGACTTGACAAAAAGAGGTAGACGCCGAAACCAGAGCGCAAGACTCACATTCGCGCATGTTGCAGCTCATGGCGGTGGTAGCGCAGCATGTGCTTGCCCAGCACCATGCCCGCGGGCCACGTCTGCCCGCCGCAGCCGGTGCGCAGGTCCTCGCGCAGCCGCAGCGGCCGCGCGAGCTGCCCGTCAAAGGTGATGTCTGTGTTGCCGGCGGGCTTCAGCTCGGGTAGGGGCGCGAAATCCTCGCTGATGTGGATGGCGCCGAGAGGTGGCGAGGCGGCGAGGTCGCCCATGGCTGCGCTGCGCCTGTCTGGCCGCTCTCGGTACCCCAGGAGGGGAAGGCGATTCGATTGATTAATGATGGAAAAAACCCCGCGGGTGAAGGGCTACCGGTTCGTGGCTAAAGGCAACAGCGAGTGACTTGTCAATTATACTAAACTTCAGGCTACTGATGGTCATTGCCGGCCAGATTTTTTTTCTCGAGGAGAGGTTTGTCAATGCCGTCTTTGTGCAATACCGCCTATATGAGTATTCCGATCCTCGGGCAACGTTCTGGACCCTGAGCTAACTACCTACCTACCTAGTAACGAGGCGGCTCGAGTCCCGCTGAAGGTCCGATAAGGCTAGCAAGTTTCTTATCAGTGGCATACAGTGAGCAAGGCCGTGTGATCGCGTGCGGCTTTCGCGGCGCTAGAGATTAAAGTGTACATTTTGAGGGCAAACTTTTACGATGCAGGTGTTGGTCAGATGTCGTGGTGTTGTTGGGCTGCTTATTAAAAACCGCGCCTTGGTGTTTTGGTGAATAATTTGTTGACCGCCACCCATACCTACTCGGTAGCGAGGCTGCGGTACCGTGGGTACGTACCTGGCTGGTGCTGCAACTGTGTGGAGATGGCGTTAACATGCCAAGACGCCGACTTATATCAACATCACTATCAAAAGAATAATGCTTATCACTGTAGTAATAATTAATACACTCATCCTTCGACCAAGATCACCGCCCAAGCGACTTTGCCTGCAAAAGTATTTATATAAGCCCTCACGAGGTGCTCTCAAGCCAGTAAATTCAAGCCTCCACTAGTAATCAGAAACTGTGCAGAGTAATAAAACACCGCGATAGTTTGCTCAATAAGAAGTCTGTAGGCCGACTCATCGTTGAAATAAAATCGGTTCACGCCAATCAGAGTATCAGAAACAACAAAAATAGCACCACCAAAAGCAATTTGGCTGCTGGGCATGGCATATGCGTACAGCGCCATGGTCACTAACACGCCGACGTACACAGCGCACGGTAGCCGTATACTGCCTTTCACTCGAGGCAAGATGAGGTAACTCGCAACACAACCGTGGGCAAACGTCACCACACTTAGAAGCAAGCGATACCTGTCCCCAAAAAGAAGTGCAAAATTGGCACCATGATGACGGAAAAGCGCAATGTAGAAGACGTGAGCGATCAGAAAATTGACAATGGCGCCAAGAAGTGTTGCGCTCCCTCGGCCGAGCGCAAGAGACGCATCCCCCAAGGAGGAAAGCCCGAGTGCAAGAACAAGAGGCGTCGGAGCTCCGCGTAGAAAAGCGAGAAGGGAGAGTAGGGAGACGGAGAGAAATTTGGCAAGGAAACGTAAAGGATTGGGTGGCTCGTGTACTTTGAGGGCCCAAATAATGGCGGCGCCAACGGATAGGCCTTGCAAAAGCGCGCTTGTGGTATCGATATCGGTAGACATGCGAGGCTCCATCTGGATTTTCAGATTGTATGAAAATGATCAATTACACAATTCGTGGGTAGCTTTGCTAGCTGTGACTATTTATACTAACTAGGCTTGCGGCTGGCCCGGATGTTGCTGTTGCATGAGCCGAGGCACTGAACTGCGAATACGAGAGACTAGAAGAGGCGAAAATTAGTATCGAAAGTATATTCAGCGCGGACCATGTACAAAGCTGATTGATGGTCTCTCGCGGATTAAACTCCATCACTCCTTTTCGTTGCTTGATTTTAGCTAGCGGACCTGAATTGACAGGCATGGACCTGCCTAGTTACCGGTAAGTATCCAGTGCGAGATCCGTCATGGTCTGAATCGGAGCCCGGCACACACAATCAGCCGCCTGGGGGAATAACAGGCCGTGGGACTTTAGATGAGCTAGCTTCCAGAAAAACGGACCTGGGTTCGGACCAGAAACGGAGGAACGGTCACCACTCCAAAAGTCCTGAAAGGTACGATAGATGCTCCGTGATCCCGCTTTGTAATTGGCTACAACCTGAAGAAAAGAACAAGAAAAAAAAAAGAGTCTTGTTAATCACTATAACCAGGATAAGGGAAAAACTCTCAAGCCTCTGATACAAATCGTGACTGTTTTACACAAGATTGCTTTCAAGTTGTGTATAGTCTGCTTACATGAATCATGAAAAGGGAAGCAATGTTTTACTGGCTGCGGAGAAAATACTGCTCAATAATTTGTGCGTGAATCAATGCAATCGGGCTTTTGGCCTTTTTCTGTTTTTCGCTCTTCAAAAATTCTCCTCCATCATAAGCTGTGTAACCATGGCTCCCAGGCAGCGACCTCAGGTTGCCCTTTACACGTGTGAGGGACGGCCGTTGCCGAGCCATCTCTCCCCATTTCAAATTCCAACAAATAGACTCGAGCGCGTTTGTTTTTCAATATGCCACAGGAAGATCAGCAAGACCTCAGGATGAAGTCCGATGCTATTGTGCAGCATCTCAACGCAGCGCTTCCCATTATTCGCAAAGTTTGCGAAATCTCTGGCGTCCCCGCAGCCTCGATTGGCGTCATTCACCAAGGCCAGAGCATCTACGTCGAGAACATTGGCCATCGAAATGTCGAGGCGCAGCTTTCGCCGACATCAGACACTTTGTATGGTCTGGGGTCGCTGACAAAAGGCTTCGTCGCCGCCAGCCTGGCTCAGCTTCTCCACAACCATCCGACTGTGACTTGGACAACACCGCTACAGAATATCTGGCCAGAGTATCGACCGCAGCAGCCGCAGCTCAAAGGAAATGTGTCTCTACTCGATTTTCTCTCGCATCGCACGGGACTATCCGGGGACATGTCTGTTGCCCTCCAAGGTGATATGGAGTTTATCCTTCCACCGTCCGAGGTGGCGCCGATTGTGTCCCGGCTTGATGTAGCTGCTCCTTTTCGTCAGTTATGGCTGTACAATAACTGGGGATACAGTGTGGCCGGAAAAGTCATGGAAAAGCTATCGGGCAAGCCTGCGCACGAGTACATTCGCGAATCTATTCTGATGCCTCTGGGCCTCTCCAACACTACACTGCGACCCGTTTTCGATGAACATATTGACTTTGCGGATGCCTACGCTGCACTCGAGGATGCAAGTACTCAATGTCTTCCGAGGGAGTTTCCATTTCTAGAAAGCCTGTTTGAGACGGCCGGTGGCATGTATTCGACCGTCAACGACATGCTCAAGTATTGCCAAGCTCTGCTACGATCCCGGATTGATCCGCAGTCCACCCCACTGGGTAATCTGGAAATGCTCTTCCAAGGTCACATCCCACTAGATCGATCCATGGAGAGTTTTGGATCGTACGGTATGGGCTGGATTGAGACTCACCTGCCTAGTGTACTTGGCCTTCAGGGTGACAATGCAGAGCTCTTCCAATGGGACGAGCTTCCCTATATCAACGATCCCAGAGACCCAAGCAAATCCCTACTCACCTTTTACCATCAAGGCGCAAGCTTGGGGTACTACTCTGCCATTTATCTCTTCCCGGAAACGGAATCGGGATTTGTTGTCCTGACCAACTCCATGCCCCTCAGTGACGCTGCGGACTGGATCGCGCAAATTATTGCAGCCGCTCTGCATGGTTTCGAGACGAGCGCCGACTATGTCGAACTTGCCAACGAGGCTCGCCGACGCAAGGTTGGTAATGTTGCTGCTATGATGGCCGAAATCGAAAAGACGCGGGAGGAACACCCCGGTGACCTCCCCCGTCCACTCGATGCTTATTGCGGCGACTACTACAACGCGCTCGGCAACTTTCATGTACGCATCAAGCAGCATAAGGTCAAAGCTGGTGTCTTGGAGCTCGCTTTTCAGGGAAAAGCGACGCAAGAATACGAGCTTCGTCATCTCCATGGCGACATTTTCGAGTGGGCGCTCACTCATGATGAGCAGGCTCGGCGCGCGAGATTTACCACATGGGAGCAAAGCTACTTTTTAGTTAAATTCCTTCCCAATGGTACTAGTAACATTGTTGCTTTAGAGTGGGGAAGTAATCAAGAGAAACTCACAAGTAGCAACATACAAAATAGAATAGCTGACCATAGTAGTAAAGAGTTATAAGTCAACTTGATCCAAAAGATGAGATTATAGGTAGTGACTTTACTTTAGATAGATTTGATGTTTCACTTAGATCTAGGATATGATTATTAAATGAGTTTACTTGTATATTTTTTTACTGATCGTACTTTGTATTCTACTCAGATTCAGCTTCAATGTTTCACAATAACCTAGCAAGTTACATATAATACCTATCGACGTCACTTGAGCCAAGGTGAACTTGATTAAGACGAGAATGGATTCTTCTAAAATCCACTTTGACTGGCACTTGACGGGGCAGTCCAAGTACATTGCAGTGTTAATGATGAGCTTTGAGCTAAAGCAACGTGGAAATCCAATCGTTTTACCCATGCTCCGCCGTAGAGGCATCCTTTTGTTATATATACAGTGCCCTTCTAAAAGTAACGCTAAAAGTTCAAAATTAACCTACTTTAGAATAGTATTAAATATTACTATTTACTTATATAACGAAATATTATTTATTAAATATAATAAAATACTTATTTATCTTAATAATATATTTTAACTTATTTTTTTAAAAAAATCTTTATAAAACTAAAAAAGATTTATATTTATAAACTAAGATTAAC